CTGTCATACACCGGAGACCCACGGTGCGTTGGCCCCAGCTTGCCGACCAGAATCCTGGCAGTGCCCTATGGCATCGATACCAAGTTCCGGATCCGAGGATTTTCCACCCCCCACACCCGGCCCAGCGGTGTGAAAGGATCTGCTTTATCGGGTCTCAGCAGAATCCTTCTGGTAGGGGGCAAGTTTGCAGGTGGAGATGGTGCCTTGTGCTGTTGTACTATATGCTACTACTACTAATGGTCAAGAGTTGCTTGCACAATTTTGACGGTGCGGTGGCAGCAAGGAGCTATCGACGAACGACCCTTGCATCATCATTCATTGCACCCTCCATCATGATGGGTCAGCTTGAGCAGCTTGAGCAAAATTGCGCTAGGCATAGGCCCAGGACTGCACGGGATGCTTGGCATCGGTTTCAGATGCGTTTGCCAAGGAGGGTCGGGTAGGGCGAGAGCAAAAAAGCGAGACACCGAGAGCGACACGGAGATAGAGAGAGAGCGGCAAAGAGTGTTAGCGAGAGGCGAATACGTGGGCAGAAGCAACAGACACCGAAGAAGAGAAAGCGTGTGGGAGCAACGGAAGCAACCTTCCGGAGCCTGGGTAATGCTGGTGCCGGCCAATCGCAGATATCTGAAAGCCAAGTCGGATGCGAGCCTAAGCTGCGGGGCTCCATGAAAACCAACCTCACTATGTCATTATGTGCAGCTTGTATCCGGCCTGTGTGAGTGCGAGGGAGCTAACCATCCCAAGCCGAGCTCATCGAGGGTCGCATCGGATTTGTTCGCGAAGCCGGAGGAACGGGCAAGGAAACGTTCCATGGCCATAGCGTGCTTCACCTTGGCCTCCCGCTTGATTTTTCTGCCGTCCCTTAGATGACCACAGATGAAGTTTACATGTTGCCAAGTCTCCATCCATCAGAGCACAGTTTCAACCGACTATTCAACTAAAAGCCTCAGACCAGCTGCACACGTGCCGGATGGAACTCATCTCTCAGCGATGGCTTCGGAATGTTCGTCTGGAGGCTACTCACCAAGTGACTCTCTGCAGATTGGCAGAGCGAGTGAAGCAGTCTTCGCTGAAGTCTGGCAACTTTGACACGGCCCTGAAAGAAGGCCAAACAGGCATGTGTGGAAAACAGTCTTCGAAACAACAACATGGGTCAAAGGGCACCATGCCGACCACCAGCCTCGCACAAGACTTCGTCGAAAGGCAATCTCATCAGGAACCACGAGGCAGCTGACAGCGGCACCCCTGGGGACTGTCGGAGTTCGAAAAAAGTCTTGTCAGTTCTGCAGGGCCTGCTTGCAGACGTTGCTGAGCAACGGAGATCATGGAGCACTTCTCCCACCTGCAAAGAACAATGACCAGGGGAGAGACTGCAGAGACAAGGGGCAAAAAGAGGGACCTGGACTTGATGTCGAGGAATTGCAGGCATCTCCCCCACGTCTCCAAATCCAAGTCGAAAGCAAGACATCTCAACATACCTCGCTCAGAAGCAAATTCGAAAATGCAACTCATCCGGCAACACATGGACTCATGCTTCCTTGGCGCAGTCAGGCTCATCCGGTAGCAACAGGATGCTCTCATCGGGCTTGCAGCAGTTAGTGATGAGAAGATCGAAGCCTGCGAGGCAACCATCCTTCAAAGTCTTCTTGCAGCCCTTGAGCTGGAGAGCTGAAGCAACCTGAGGTTTGTGAATGCTTGCGTCATCGGTCATCAGATCGGATTCAATTCAATGATCAATGCAAAGGAACACACAACCACTGCAGCTGTGTAGCCATGAAAAACAGGCCCGGCAGCGTGACCCCGTCGAAAGAAAGCCGGGGCCGCTGCACAGCATCTGCTGCGACCTGATGCCCTTTATACCCCAGCTTGCGAATAATGTGGAGGTCGCAATCCACAGACCACTTCCTTTCAAGCTTGGGCATCATGGAGTCTCTCCTTGGATCTCTGGTAAAACAAATCATCGAGGGAACTTGCAATCTCGTGCAAGGAGTTCTTTGATGATCAATGCTACCAAGGAGCAGCTTGGTGTGCCAGTTCGTGAATTGCTGTTTACGGGACAGCAAAGGCCATGTTTCTGTAATGCGGAAGACCAACTGGTAGCCTTCCACATCTGTGTCCAGCACCTGTAGAGGTGGCGACATCTCGGACATTGGAGGCAGCCAGAAGCACTGATCGAAATGTCTAAACTTTCATCCGAGTCGCACGGTGAACAGAAAGCACACCTTCACGTTTACCTTTGATCTGCAGGAAGAGCGTGTTGGCGGGAGTGTAGGTTGCTGTTCTCGGCTCCGTCTCAGGCGGGCTGGAAGGTTCAACACTCCTGGCTGGAGACTCGGCGACCAGCTGAGCATCCTCCTTGAACAGCAGGGGCCGAAGCACTAGTCCAGCAGCTGCAGCATCTGCACGATTTGCATCCACTACGGCCTCCACAGGGATGTGCTAAAGCACTGATGCAAAAAGGAGACAGCGGGACTGAGGACGTGCAATGAATGTCCAGGCCTCCCACTCCGAGCCAGGCAGCAAAGTAACAGTTCCAGACTCTCTGTCGCCCTGTCGGATCTTGCGGTCCAAGATCTCGATCTTAACCAGGCAGCGGTCGAGGAAGGCCTTCTTCTGCTCTGGATCTGCCAACCTGCAGGAGAAGAGTTGGGTCGGAGCTATGCGAAAGAGCTTCGTTCACCCCAGCTTCTCTGCAATGCTTGCTGGTATGGGTATCTGGCAATGCTCTAGCCCTAAGGGATCAAGCACGGTTAAGGGAT